GGCTTTCTCATCCATTAAAACCCACAATGCTGGCCAATCAATCAATCTTTTGGAATTATGTATCCACTCATTGAAATTGTATTATGCACTGGCTTGATGAAAACATCAATAATTTGAATCCATGTGGAGGAAGAAAAGTCAGCATAAAGGCTGGAATGGGAACTGGTAATACAGAATAAACAAAGTTGGGACCACAGTTGATTTGTAAAAAAAGCTGACATCTGATCCATTCCCTTATTAAGTGGAATAACTCAGTGTTAATTATAGTGAAACATCTAAGTAACTTATTTACTGATGCCTGTACTCATTATTTCTGTCTATGCAATTTCCTAGGAACTCATGGCTTAATTTCCAGAGTTTATTTAGTGACATACATTATTGTTTATTGATAGTTGTGGAAACAACTCCAGTAATAGTTTGAATCTGGGTGCTAATGTTTTTACATCCACACATTAAATATATCAAACACCATTGTGATAAATGCACACACACTTTTAACATAGTTAAACACCATTAGTATACACAGACTAAAAAATGTGCTCACATATCACTAATCTTACTGATGACTAAACTTACCCCATCACCAAACATCATCATACATCACTGACCATTCTCATTACTGAACATCCTCACCACTAAACACTCTCTCATATCACTAAAGTTACTCAGCAAGCACGGACATAGGAACAGACTTGGGTAGTACATCAGACTGGTTAAGTGGGTAGGTACCTTACAGAGAGGATGTAATGCAGCAAAGTGCAAGAGATTCATTCTGCTTGGGCGAATGTGGAGACGCAGAAAAAAATAATTGTTCCTATTTTAATGGGGATGCAGGAATAGAGATGTGGATGTGCATATACACATCTTCGAAGCTGGCAAGACACATTAAGAAAGCTATTAAAAGGCACGTGTCGTCCTTGGCTTTATAAACAAAGGCTTTGAGTACAAAAGCAAAAACATTATACTGAACTTTTCAGAAACATTGGTAAATGCTGGGTATCACACTTTTGTGGAAAATGCAAAAGACAAGAGAGGGTGCAGAGGATGGGGCAGAGAAAGATGTCAGTTACAAGCAGAAACAATAGAAAATTAGATTGTACTTCTGGAAAAGCAGATTGTGAGGAAATTTTACAGAGGTGTTTAAACCTTGATAGATTTTAGTGAAGTCAATAAGATAAACCTGTTTCTAATTGCAAGGAACCAGAGGGCACATTTTTAAGGGAAAAGAATCTGAGGTGACAGGAAGGAAAAAACATACTGGAAGTTGTAACAGTTTGAAAGGTAGTGCTGGTAGAAATGGATTCGATAAGGACCTACAAAACAGCATTATATAAATACACTGAAGTAAAAATGCTGTGCTATGTGGAGACAGCAATAAAATGATGCTAATTGTATTGCCCTTTTAAAAACTGAAACAGGCACAATGGGCTGATTGGCCTCCATCTACACTGTATCATTCTGTAATTCTGCAATATCACTGATTACAGTCACTAAACTCACATAATTTATTATATTCCCATGGTTAAATATATACAGACCACTAACTGCACATGATGTTGATTAAACATACACGCATGATGCATTCTGATGCATTGTTAAACACAAACATACTTCATAAAATATACACACAGGATTAAACATATTTACCATTATCTGTATATACTCTCAGATCACAAAACATGTGCACCTGCACTTAAACATGCTGCTAAATGCAGTCTCCCTTAAACATATTAAGAGACTATCACATATTTCCCTTCAGCTGCTTACTGATCTTTGTTCTATTGCAAACATGTTGGCGAAAGTATGTAAAATATGTAATTCTAACATGTCAGCCTAAAAAAAGACATACATCTCAAAGTTTTTTCCTTCCTATCTCAAGTCAAAGAACTTGTTCAACTCTTTCCCCGAAAATACCTGACTTAATTCAATTTCATCTTTAGAACATGGTCAACTTATTGTTAAAATAAAAGGAATTCTGAATAGAATAAAGCTTACCATAGTCTAGCATAATAAAGTAAAATATTCCATTCATGACTAACTTGCTTGATAATGTATCGTTTAAAATGCTAAGCTGAATTATGGTCAACAATCATATTTACAATTACTCTGAACCCAGCTCAACCCATCCATATAATTGTGGATGAACCATTGATGTGTACAGTACTGAGGGAAACATTGAGCCATCGTGTCTTTGCAGTGTGGTTGTTATAACAATCCAAAGCTAAATTCTCCACCTTGTTATTCTAAAAATGTACGGTGCAAAAACGAAAAAAAAAAATCCCAATCTCCCTTCTCCCTCTCTTATTGATAAAATATGAGAATTTTCAAATATATAAAAATTTTAAAATAATGTCACATCAGCAAAAACATCCTGACGAATCTTTCATGTGCATTCGTAAAAGTGTTAATGTTTTCTCTCTTTAATGGGTCATTACTCTTTAGAAAGGTATTTACTTCAATTAAGTATTTGTGGTTGAAGTGTTGAACAAGTCCCTTAGCTTGAGGTAGGGAAGGAGAAAATCTTGATTTTTGGCCCTTTTTCAGACTAATATCATACTAAAATTGCATAATTTACACATTTGAAGCATCCTTCGGGGATATGAGGACATATTCTACTCCTACAGTTCATACAGCGCTGACGGAACGCTGCAGCAACAGAGATGCCGTTTTCGACATAAAGCAATAAGCGGAGGTCAACCATTTCTTCCGGATAGAGATAAAATATTTTATGTTACATATATATCTTTTTTGGAGCAAGATCAATCTTTATCCCTCAAACAACACAAAACCAGACTGTCTGGCAATTATCACTGGGCTGTTTGCGGGATCTTGCTGTGCGCAAATCGACTGCTCACAACATTGACCCCACTTCCAAAGGACTTAATTACTTATAAAGCACTTTGAAGTATCTTGAGGTTGCAAACATGCTGGATAAATGCAAGTTCTTTTTATATTAAAAAGGATCTTATGAACCTTCTGGATCAAACGTTTGGGGGCATCTGTCCGAATTTCAGCTTGATGCCCATTTTGTTTTCAGTACGATCGTGGTAAAAAAAGTGCTACAGAATGCAAGAACTGCCGATGCTGGAGTCTGAGATAACGCTATGTAGAGCTGGATGAACACAGCAGGCCAGGCAGCATCAGAGGAGCAGGAAAGCTGACGTGAGATAGTAGGAACTGCAGATGCTGGAGAATCCGAGACAACAAGGTGCAGGGCTGGATGAACACAGCAGGCCAAGCAGCATCATAGGAGCAGAGAGGCTGACGTTTCGGGCCTAGACCCTTCATCAGAAAAATTTCAGGACTGATTTTGAAAATGTAAATGGACAGGATAGAATTGAAACTTAGCAACTTGAATGTGAACTATTAAACAACAGTCATAAACAATAATAATTATTGTTCACTGTGAAAGGGCAGGACCTATTGAAAAGCTAGTCACACCTTCATTAGGACTGGTGAGAGGTGGTAAACCCGCAACATCAGCCTTCCTGCTCCTCTGATGCTGCCTGGCCTGCTGTGTTCATCCAGCTCCACACTGTATTGCTACAGGAATGCAGATTGCTTTTCGTCACGATTCACTCATTTTCCCCCTGACCCCCGTGTCTTTCTAATGAATGTACACTCCTGCTCCTTGTTTCTTGTCCCTCGTTTATCTACAGCCTAAAAAAAAATGCCTCTTCCATAAAACTATGTTTTCTTTACTGCATTACGCCCAAATTATTGGAACACGGAAGGTAGCGATTTGTATCAGTGTCCCGTTTTGCAAAACCTCTTACAGCAGAATTCTTCATTTGAATTCGAAAGTGTGTTCCGTACACCTATATATCGGAGCACATCTCTTCAGCTCCCTCTCTAATTTGAGCTCCACAACCGAACCTCCCTGTCTGTAAAGCTCTCCATCCATGGGTTCAGATCACGCCCGGGATGGGTCGGCCACCAGTCTATTTCGATGGGCACAGACCTGAAACATAAACGCTGTTCTTTCACCACCACCCCCTGGCCCCCTCCAAACGGATGTTGCATTCGCTTTTTATTTTAAGATTTTCAATGCTTTTGGTGTTCCCTCCTCTCCTCGCCTTCATTTGACTAAATTTCCGAAGTTTCCCAAGCGTCTTGTTAGGCAAAGACTTTCTGAAAAATCCATTTCAGCTGCTTTTTTTTTCTAGTTCATGTTCATTTGCCCAGGTATCAGAAACAAAAAAAACTCGTCAAACGCAACCTTCAGAATCAGCCACTTGACCCGTGGACACTGCTAAATGTTTCCCAACTTGATTGCAAGTGAGGAATTCTGAGAGTTTACTAACATAAAGATGACACAACATTATACCGTGCCTTCGATTATACATTCGTCAGTTGATTTAACTCACAGAGTGGAGGGGTGTTCTACCGGTGGAGTGATAGTGACCCTGTCTCTGAGACGGGAACACCCGGGTTCAGAGGGGTGCAATAATGCTTCTGAACAAGTTAATTCAAAAATTTTAACGGGTTACAATATAACCGAGGCTCCGAAAGCTTGTGTTTTCAAATGAACCTGTTGGACTAGGACCTGGTGTGTGATTTCTGACCTTGTCCAAGCTCCCCCAGACCGACACCGGCGCCTCCACATCAAACACTCAACTCTGAAAGTGAAAGTGATTTTGAAAATGTGCAAATGGACTGGGTAGAATTGAACTTAGCAACTTGACTGTGAAATATTAAACAACAGTCATAAATTATTATTATTATCAATTTATGCTCAGTTTGTGTGAAAGGGCAAGGCTTATTGGAAAGCTGGTCACTCCTTCCCAGCTCATTGGCTGGTTCTGCCAATAGACCTGCCTTAGTTCCCAAAGCCCATTCATTGAGTGGGCGATTCACTGTCAATAAATGCGCCCAAAGCTATCACGAAGGCCTACTTTGGATTTCCATTGGTTTCTTCCGCTGTCAATCAATGGGCTGCCCATCCTCTCTCTAGAACCTACAGAGGCTGCAGTTCGCTGTTAATATTGGAGCAGATGCTGGAATATGATAAAAGATAAGAACAAGGTAGGGTGGCGGTTGGGGGAAGCAGAGCCCCGAGCCTGAGCTAACAGAGGAGAATGCAACCCTACAGTATGAATGCAATAGTGAGAGTTGGAGGGAAGCTGGTGCGGGAAGAGAAGTGCCGGGACAGGAATTTGAAAATGACTTTAGCTCGCCTGCGCTTCTGCCGCCTCGTCCTTCTGAACTTTCTCCTGCACAGTCACCGGACCGCTGCGGACGAAGGTGAGCAACCGGCTTGGAGCCCTGTCCAGGGGGGTAAGGGGCTGGATGTAACCCGGGGAGCTGGGGGAAGAGCGCTTGGTTCCAGGGTTGAGTGATTGAATGCTCTCTCCGCAATGTCCTGGCAATGAAGTCTGTTTGAGACTTTAGGGGCGGGATGGTGTGGGTCTTACCTATTCCCCTTCCTCTCTGTCTCCTATTCCGCCTGCCCTGTTGTATTTTGCTGAACAGATCAGCTTGACCGTGAGTGAGTGAGTGTGTGTGTGTGTGATGGTTCAGAGGCTTTGCACTATGTTGTAAATAATAAGTCTGTTTTGACCTGGTTTTAGTCCGTGTGTGTGTCTGTCAGCGACCGTGCACTTCGATAATTTATTTTTCAGCGTTTGAGCAGATGGCGAGCTTGTCCTGCTTAAAAAGCATTCATTTCCTCTCTTTTACACCATCTCCCACTCCTGAATACTCTCATTGCTGGTTCTCCTGTCAGAGAGACTGGGGCGGTAGCTCGCAATCTTTCTGGGCAGATTTCCTTTGCTTGAATCCCCAACCTTTTCCTGTACAGTGGAAGGATATTTAGAGAGAGAGATGGACAGGGGAAAGGTAATGTGCCGAGATGTTGATGGGTAATTGCTTTCTTAGTGTCATCTGATACAAGAGCGAGTCAGGGACGAGATTCTATCATGTTCCTTGTGGCTGTTACTTGAAAGGAATAAATTTGAAACTTCGCTGGTCTTTCTTTCCGGCCAGAGGTGACTAGTCAGAATGCACATCATGCAGATCAGTTCTTTGTTTACGAGTGGCCATTAGATTTGAGAATTGTCTCATGAATGGATGAGGAGCGAGACAGTAAGGCATCCCCCCCTTCAGCTTATATCAGGAGAGAAATACATATTGCTTGGCAAAACTCATTCACAGACACTGCCTTCCCTGTGCAGACTGATGGATGCATTCATTTAGATTGAACCTTTGAGCCATACACTTCTGCACCGAAGTGTTGGTGATGAGACCTGGCGTACTTAGTTGGTGTTGGGGAATTGCCTCACAGTCCCTGTCGATTTGGGAAAGCAGAGTGTTATTGAAAATAAACTGTGATCCATCAGTCTCGTCAAACAACCCAGAGAGAGAAATAAAGGCTTAGCCCGGGAGACAGGTGATGGCGATCTACAGATAGCAACCAGCGATAAAGAGCTTCGAGAAGCGAGCCAGGCTGAGAACTGTTAGTGTTTCACTTACACTTTATGTCATTTTCAAACGCTGCGAGCATCCGTTATAGCTAAAGGGGGTGAGAGAACTTCACCGAAGAAATGTTTGGAAGTGGCATAGGGAGTCAAGTTAGCTGTCTCCTAATATTTAACAAACAAACAACAAACTTCCGTGCCTTTTTCCAAATGTCCACTCTCATATCCTTTTACCCAGCACATCTCAGAATGGAGAATATTCTCGTCAGACACCCATATTGAATGCTTCATGTTTGATGGGTGTTTTTATTACAAGGAACTGGACGTAGCTAGAATATGAGTTACAACATAAAAACAGAAAATTGCTGTAAAAACTCAGCAGCTCTGGCAGCATCTGTGCAGAAAAATCGGAGTTGACATTTCGGGTGGAGTGACCATTCTTTCACTGTTCTCTGCTGAGCTTTTACAACAAT